TAAGACTCCTATCAGCCTTAAGACTTTTCTTTTGTTTGAAATATCTTTTCCTTTGAAAATTATGTCCGATATTTAAGCCAATCCAAAGTATAACATGTGGCTATATCAATACAGGTAGTCACCTAACAAACACTCAGCCAATTCAATTTAGGAAGTGACAAGAGAGCAGTTCCCAGCGAATGGCTTATTGTTCCATGTCTAACTCTTAAAAAGAGATTTCAAGATAGTGGTGGCTGTGGCTACAGGGTGAGTTAGGAAGGTGGAAAAGAAAAGTGGTATCCTAATTTCTGGGGTGCCCATAGGCAACCAGTGTATAGTATACTCTGCAACTCCTTTAGCTCTATGATGGTCTGTCACTTTCCTACACCCCCTTCATCACTCTCCCCTGGATGAAAGTTTGACCCATTATAACACATCCTTTCATTCATTTCCAAGCAGGTATAAGTTACATTTTTTTTAAAGCACAAACACAGAAGCCAACTTTGACTAGCTTAATTTAAAAAGGGATAGGGGTGCCTGAGTGGCTCAGTCAGTTAAGCATCTGCCTTTGGCTCAGGTCATGATCCCAGGGTCCTGGGATCAAGCCCCACATTGGGCTCCCTCAGGGGAGAGCCTGCTTCTCCCTTTCCCTCTGCTGCTCCCCCTGCTTGTGCTCTCTCTCTCAAATAAATAAATAAATTTTAAAAAAAAGGGATATATTGGAAGATTAACAGGGAACTGAATAACAAAGTTGTGGTAGTTTGTTGATATGACCATGTTTTTATACCCATCTCGGTATCCACACCCTTTGCAATGTGACTTTGCAGCTCCTTCCACCAAGGAGTAGGTCTTAGCTCCCACCCTCTTGAATTTGGTCCTGTGGCTTGCTTTGGCTGATGGAATGCAGTGAAAGTGATGGTGTGCCATGTCTGAGCCTAGACCTCAGCAAGTCTTGCATGCTTCCACTCCCTCTCCTGGAATTCTGCGCAGCTACTTGTGAATAAATTCAGTGGAAGATGAGACACCATGTAGGAAAGAGACAATTCCACCTGAGGTTACCATAGACCAGCCAGCTTCCAGTTCACCAATGGCTGATTGCAGATGATGTATGAATCCTTCCAAGACCAGGAGAAAGGCCCAGCTTAGCTGAGTGCAAATTGCTGACCTCCAGAATCTTGAGATAAATAAATGGATATTATTTTATGCTGCTAATTTTGGGGATTATTTGTTATACAGCAAAAGCTCACTAGTACAAAAGCCTTGAGAATAATAGAATCCAGGAACTGGGTCACCTGTGGCTCCTCCACAGAGCTGCCAGCAGATGACATAGTTCCAGTTGCCTTTTATTCTTTTTGAGCCCTGTCCATTCCTGGGTAAAAGAATTTGATGGGTCCATTTCGGGTCATGAGCCCTCCCTAGGATAGTGGTGGAGTCCTCTGGTTTAACAGCCTTGCTTGAACCATAAGGAGTAGAGAAGGGGCAGTTCCTTAAAAAGGAGGGTAGTAGCTGCTATTTCCAAGAACAGGGAAGAGGAGGTCCTAGGTAGATAAAATACATGTCTATAATATGCATTCATTTTGTGTACTTACTCAAGGAGGTGTAAGACATTCACTTTCCTCAAGGAAGTCTTGGCCTAATGGAGGAGTCTGGGAAGAGCAGTGTCAGGCAGGTAATAGTGTGGTTACTGCTGTCACCGAGGGACCAGAGGTGACCAAGAGCCCAGAGGATGGACATTTAACCCCGACTCACTACCAGGAAAATTCTTGGAAGAGACTGCATTGGAACTGAGTTCTATGAGATATATACTGAGCTAGGTGAGGAGGCAAGAGTGGCAAGCAGCACTGAGGTCCTTCCAGGCACTGGGAGTGGCATGAGTGACAGCCTAGAGTCAGAATTTTAAACTTGTCACCATGGACCAAAATTACATAACGTTTATGCCTGGTGTGGCTCAACTTCTTTGAAGAGAAAAAAAATATATTAAAAAAACCCTACTTCTCACAAGTTTCTATTGTTTTATCTTCCTCTGTTATAAATAGCCTTGTGTGCTTGCTAAGGAATGTATGTTTTCTCCTATAAGCACGGGGGAGCTATTGCAGTTATTTGAACAAGGGGGGTGGTTAGGCTCATATTTGCGTTTGAAAAAATTTGTGCTTACAGCAAAGAGAAGAAAGATGGCAAAGGGCAAGAGAGGAGGCAGGGAGACCAACCACGGAGCTGTTGTTTTCTAGACAAGAAGTAATGGCTTCAATTAAAGGGAGTGGAATGAGGAAGTGGCAAGGATGGGATGGATCTTTTGGTAATATCCTCAACGGATATATGAAGACACCAGTCGCTTCTATCTTTAAAAGTACCGTTGTTCCCTTAAAGTCATAATGAAAAAGGCCTTTGTGTTTGATAACAGATCTTCCTTTATGTCAAATAAGACACACCTGTTATGAAGAAATTGGTGATAAGCTTACATCTACATGATGCAAAAAATCCCTCCTTGTTCTGGCTTAGAAAAACAAATAGCTCTCCTTGGATCCACTCAACCTTCAAGAGAGCCAACTAGTCTCCACACCCACTTAGAGTCATGGTGTGAGACAGAGGGCTGTCAAAGGCCAGCCCTGAACTAGAACCAGATGGGAGAAGATTCACGCCAGAGACCATCATCCAAACCTCTTGATTTTCAGTGATCAGCAGTTGAATGTTCAGAGAAAGTGCATTTGATGGCTTAGTCACAACTGGATCAACTGAAATAACAATGCAAGGAGGTGTCTGACCCTGGAGAGATGAAAGGAACAGCTGCCAAGAGATCCTTGCTAGCCTTCTGCGGAGGGGAGGCAGAGGAAGGGCGGTATCCTTGCTCAAAAGGGTTGGACAGAAAGCCAAAAAAAAAAAAAAAAAAAGATTGATTTGAGGTTTCATCTTTAAATATGATAGAGTAGGCTTGGAGAGTTGATGCAGATCTCCAGGGTGTGTGCAAATTGGAAGATAAAAAATATGCATTTATAGTGGATATTTCTGTTAGCACTTAAAAAAACTTGATATTTAAAAAATATCAGTAATTCGATTAGTAGGTTACATGTTTGTTATAAGCACGAAAAGTCACAGCAGAGTATATGACCCTTTCCCTGTGGTTGGGAAGTTCAGACATTTGCATTGAGAAATGCTGATATCAATACAAGGAATAAAGGCTGATAGCAATCAGAATCTAGTGGTGTTGGTGAAGGGAAGAGGTGCCCAAGGAAGGCAATTTGGCAATGAAACTCAATTTTAGACTTGTTTTTATCTCTAAATGATACCATTGAGTGGCAGAGCTTCACTGACATGACTGAAAGAAGACTTTGTACATGGAGAGCTGGACATCTTGGTCTCCTTCCCAGGCCACATTGCCTATGCAATGTGTGCTCCATGCATTATTTGTTTTTCATAAATCTTGATATATATTGTCAATTGCGTGATTTTATTGTATTGTGGTTTTGCATATGTATGTATGTTTAAAACATTGATTTGTTAAGTGAAACATTTTAAATGTATCATATGTTTTATACTCCTGTTTTTCCATTTTTCTATTTTTATTTTACTTTTTTATTAAACTAGGCAGCTCCAGAAAATGGAAGTCAATCTATCCTCTCTTAACAGTGGAGAGCTCCCGATTTCAATGCAGGAAATGTTAGGGCACTCCCTGATTAATTCCCAAATAATAGTGATTACTCTTTATCAAAGACCTATTATAAGCCAGTTACTTTACCCATATCCTTTAAAATTAAAAAAAAAAATTAAAGTAAATGCATTATAGCAGACACTATAAAAAATCAAATGAGGAAGAAAATAAGTTACTTGCAGTACTGCAGGAAATCCCATCACTGGAGATCCCTGTTAAGAGACAGCCATATTGTCTCAGAGTCATGATATCTCAAAGTTGGATGAAGGGTCAACACTGCCTTGCTCCAGTCAATGGAGCTGAGCATGGCAGAAAGGTAAGGAAGACACTTTTCAAGGGAGTGAAGTCGAGAGACATCTCTGCAGTACTGGGCACAGCTCCTTTATTTTTTTTTAAGTAGATGGGGCTTGAACTCATGACGCTGAGATCAAGACCTGAACTGAGATCAAGAGTTGGATGCTTAACTGACTGAGCCACCAAGGTGCCCCTGGACACCGCTCCTTGACAAGGACATGTAATTCTGAGGTGCCAGTGAGGGGGCAAGGGTCTCGTGGAACAGAAGTGGTGACCATTATTGGGTGACTTCTTGCCTCAAGCTGCCTAACTTTGAGAAAGTGCCCCCAGCCTTTGCTTTCAGACTTCATCCTTTTCTGGTGAGATGTCCCAGGGCTCTTCTAAACCATCAGCCCTGCCTTGCTCACACCTAATGATGAAAGTCTGGGTGTGAGGGCAGTGTTAACGCCTGCCCAGAATTCAGAGGCCTGGCCCACTGTGCCATTGCTCAGACCCAAACAACAGAGCACGTGTGATTTTGCTCCTCTGCTGACCCGTTTATTGTACTTTCATTATGTGTCTCTCTCTCCCATTCCTGCCAAAGGTCAGGGGGAGGCATTTCACCTGGTGAAGATGTCTCCTTTCCCCGGTGAAGATACCGCCGATCACTGAAATGTTTCGGGAGGGCTATGATTTACAGACAACACGATGCTGTAGGACCTTCATGAGCCCTGCATGTTCTGACTTTGGAGTCCCCACCACACAAAATATCAAATATACCAGCTGCACTCATATCCCACATTAAATATGCTTTTTTGTTTTAAGAATCTTTGTAGGATTTTTGTATTTGTGCTTTAGAAATTATTTGGCGCCATGTCACTCATTTAATTTATGATTGGCTATGAGTTCCCAACAATTACTGTGTCCACTATGAATAGGGGAACTTGTGAAGTGAGAAAACTGAACCTATAAGTTGTATTTGATGGAATAAAATCCTTATGAATGCTTAATTTAACAGTGAATGAAGCTGGCATGTTGGTACATTTTGTAGACATTTAATTAAGCGTTTATTAATTTTTACATTTATTGTTTTCTTTTGTAGAGTTGGAGCGAACAACTGTTTTTCTATCTGGGTCTCATGATTTTTCTAGGCTCCTAGAAGCTTTTACCTCTGGGATCTCATTGCACTGGTAAGATTCTTATACAATAGTAATTCTCAAACACTTTGGCTTCAGGACCGTTTTACACTCTTAAAAATTATTGAGGGACCCAAAGAACCTTTTTATTAAGTGTGGGTTGTATCTACTAATATTTATTGTATTAGAAATTACAACTGAGAAATTGAAAAATCATTTATCTACCAATTTATTTTAAAATAACAATAATTAACTAACTGATTAAAAGTTACATAATTAACATTTTTGGTGATAATTATATTTTCCAAAAAAATTTCAGTGGGGAAAGTGACATTTTTGCAAATCTCCTTAATGTGTGACCTAATAGAAGACAGATTCTCATAACCTCTTCTGCATTCAATGTGTTGCCATATGTTGTTTTGCTTGCAGTATAAAAAAAATGTAGCCTCTTACAGATATGTAGTTGTGAAAGAGAAAGGTACTTTAATAGGCTTTTTTGATACTAAGTCAAAATTTGACTGCCAGTTTCTTCAAAGTTGGTTGTAATGTGGAATGTGAAACCATATCAATGAAATTTTCATACTATGTTACCTTAAAATCCACTGGCTATTTTGCACTTAAATCAGTGTTTTGCCTGCGTGTACTTTTGCAGTATGATGTATTGGGCATTTGGAAAATATTGATTCACTGAATTATGCAGATCATCCAGGTGTTGACACATTTCTTTATATGACATCAAAATATCACTCTCATTAATGCCACCACGGATCTCATCAGAAAAATCTTCAGGTATTGGGAAGCTGGCAAGTTAATGATGGCATATATATTTTCCAAAATCCTAATTTCCATATCAAAGCTTGAATGTTACCATTGGTAACAAATACTGTCAGTTGTTTTCTTTTACATAACAGGCTCATTTACTTAATTTTGAGAACATGTCTGCCCATTACTCAAGTCTGAATGCCCATAGTTTCCATTTGTCCCTTCACGTACAAATGGTAATCCATGAAAAAAGTTTAGTTTGGATTGCAACTCCAACAACTGAGCAGGTGCCTTTCCTTGAGACAACCATGGTACTTGGACATGTGTAGAAATACATTATTCAATCTTCCCATTTCCCCATGTAGAGTCCTTTTCTTTTGAGTGAGCGCTCAAGTGGGGGGGGCAGAGGGAGAGGGGGAGAGGGAATCTCAAGCAGGCTTCAAGCCCAGCGTGGATCCCGATGTGGGGCTCGATCTCACAACCCTGAGATCATGATTGGGAGATCACAACCTGAGCCAAAATCAAGAGTCAGTCGCTTAACTTACTGAGCCACCCAGGTACCCCTCATGCAGAGTCTTAAAAAGACATGTGCTCAAGGGTTGAGATTTAATAAAATTAATAATTATTCTCCTTCATCAAAGACATGCTTAAGTGAAATGGTGTTTTTTTTCCCTACTGTAAGTGCGTGACTTTGGAGAATGCAATGACCACTAGCATAGTTTGGTGGCAGCTTTTTGCACCTTTTCTTTTCACCAATGTGTAAATACATTGGAAGAAAAAAATAATGTCTTGGTGTTGTTCTGAATATTGTTTTGACCTTGTGGGTCCCCTGTCAAGCTCTGGGATCCAGAGTTCCACGAACCTCACTTTGACAGCTGCTGTGATACACAGCCCTGATCTAAGTACCAGACAGTGGCAGGTACATAATACATGTTCAATCACTTAAGCTAAACCCGTGTTTTCTTTGCCTTACTAAGCAACGTTTTGCTCTGAGAGCATGAGCAGGGGGAGGGGCAGAGAGAGAGAGGGAGAGGGACAAGCAGACTCCTTGATGAGCAGAGAGCCCGAGGGCGGGACTTGATCCCGGGACCCCAGGATCATGACCTGAGCAGAGGTCAGATGCTTAACCCACTGAGCCCCCCAGGTGCCCCCAGGACTCTCTTTCCTATTGAGACTTGTGCATCAGTACCTCTTTTCCCTTTTTATATTCACCCTTCAGGCCAAGGTTGCTGCCGTGTCGGGGATTTGGTCCTGTGTACTCTGGGAAAAGGACTCTGCCAGTAATTCCCACTTGTTCGAGGGCCACAGAAAGCTGTAGTCTTTTCTTCCCCCAGGTCTCACAATCTAGTCTAGACACCCTGACGAGGTGGAGGATGTAATTACACCTTGAAACACTCTGTGCACCAGTAACCCAGTTCCTCATGTGTGTGACTCAAGCCCCAAGAGGTCAGTGGCATCTCATGATTCATGTGTCCAAATAAGCTGGAAGTAGAAACCTCGAGGTCCAGGGTCCAGTTGCTTTTTTTTTTAAAGATTTTATTTATTTATTTGACAGAGAGAGACACAGTGAGAGAGGGAACACAAGCAGGGGGAGTGGGGGAGGGAGAAGCAGGCTTCCCGTGGAGCAGGGAGCCCGATGCGGGGCTCAATTCCAGGACCCTGGGATCATGACCTGAGCTGAAGGCAGACGCTTAACGACTGAGCCACCCAGGTGCCCACAGGGTCCAGTTGCTTTTAGCACACAGCATTTTTTTTTTTTTTACTTGAAACCAATTTCTCCATTCAGTTCATTTCTGTTTAAAGCAACAAACGTGTCTTGTGCATATCCTAGACACACACGCTGTGCATGGTGCTCCGTGTGCCATGCTGTGCCTACTGCTGTGCAGATTATTCTCTGGGCTGCCTCATACTCATCCCTGCTTTCCTCGGCCTTGCTCTGCACCTGGGAGACCACGTTTATTGCCAGCATCCCCGGTCTCTTGCCCTCTGGGCTCCCGTTGGAGTCCATCTATGGCAAGGACTCACAGGACGGAGAGTAGACGGTTAGAGGAGAAATAGGTCACCCCTCCCTACTCCTAGCTGGTTCTCCTTTGGCCACAGTTTCTGTCTGGTGACTATTCTTCCACTATTGCAGTTGGAGATGGCTCTCACATAATCTGGTAAGGCCATTTTCTGCTCTTGTCCCTTCCAGGGGGTAACAGCCTCCCTCCATGGCTAGTCCCTGGTACATCTCTACCCTCTGCCATCCTCTTGTCCTGTCCGCCCACATCCCAGAGCCCTCCTTCATGATGCTCTTTCCAGTGAAGTCTTTGCATGTGCCATCTGTTCTCTGGCTGGACCCTGACTGACACTAACAGGATCCTGCCCCCAAGAAGCTCACCGTCTGCTTAGACTTGTTACCCCAAACATCAGTCAGGTGCATGCCATGTCCCAGCTGCTCCATCCATGAGCCGACTTTACCACTAGCGCACCCTAGTAAGCTACTTTACTTCAGGTAAAAAAGAGGCTTTTATTGCCAGCCAAATAGAAAATGAATATACTTGCCCAGGATAGAAGACAGGGTAAGAAAACAACAGCTTTGTGAAACTCTGCCCCAGGATTATTGTGGTTAGGAGACTACACTGGGTGCTCTGCTTAGGTTGGAATCTTGGTTCTCGGGCTTCCCAGCTGTATGACTGTGATGAAGCCACATAACTTCTCTGTGCCTCAGTTTCTTCATCTCTAAACTGAAAATCACGATTCTATTCTACTTCAAAGGGTTGCGAGGATTCACTCAATTAATTTATGTGAACATGTGTAAAGCTTACAACACTAGCAGGCACCCAGATAGCACTACATGGATTTAAGCCCCCTTGTGTGATGATGATGATGATGATGATGATGATGATGACGGTATGGTGATGGGGTTATCTGACTCGGGCTCTGAGCTGGAGCATTATTAGCAAGGCGCTGAAGACACATCAGCCCCAGGCCAAGGCTTTCTCCCAGATGTAATGGGAGTTTGGAAAGAACTGTCTTGTTTTGTGGTTCAGTGTTGTTTGTTTCTCTGTGTACCATCTAAAATTATTGATGTGCCACAACAGTTTGTCTCGGGGACCAGCAGTGGAACATCTCCTTACACTTTAGGAGACACGGACAAGGAAATAACTGTTATGTCACAGCAAACAAACAATAAGCAAAATGTAAGAGGCAGCACAGAGGGATGAGTGACAAACTCGGGGGGTGGAGATCTGGGGGGGAAGCCGTTGACCAGGCTTATCAGAGTCTGGATTGGGGTTGGAAAATGCAGATAAAGGTTTCTCAGGGATAGAGGGAATAAATAGCCTGGTTGCAGGCAGGTGCATAACTTAGCAAGTTATGTTCAGTAAAGGACAATATCACAAAGAAGTAACAACTCCCTAACAGAAAGAGGCAGCAATGGCTGAAGAAGAACTGTCTAGAGCAGCAGTTCTCAGTGTGTGGTTCCCAGAGCTGCAGCATCAACAAGACTTAGGAACTTGTTAGAATGCACATTACCAGGCTCCCAAACCTCCTGAATCAGGAACTCTGGGGATAGGACCCTCCCAGCAGACTGTGAGTCTTATGCATGCTGGAGTTTGAGAACCACTGGTCTAGAGGAAGATGGGAGAGTATTAGTAGTAAACGAGCATGAGATTTTGCACACAATACCAGCGAGGGCCCTTCGATGAGCACTCTTTCTGTGGCAGGTGTTGTGCTAGTCACTCTATCTGTTCTGTCTCCTGTAATCCTCACAACAACCCTGACAGGTAGATACACTATTATGTCTGTTTTATAAATGAGCATGTGGAAACTTGGGTTGGAGTTTGATAACCATTTCTCCTCCAAAGCAATAGAACCTAGAATAATGAAGCCATTGGGTGGTGGAAAGAAAGCCAGAGGATAGATTCAAAAATGATTGTCAGAAGATTGCCTACATGGGGTGCCTGGGTGGCTCAGTCGTTAAGCGTCTGGCTTTGGCTCAGGTCATGATCCTGGGGTCCTAGGATTGGGCCCCACATTGGGCTCCCTGCTCAGTGGGGAGCCTGCTTCTCCCCCTCCCACTCCCCCTGCTTGTGTTCCCTCTCTCGCTGTCTCTCTCTCTGTCAAATAAATAAATAAAATCTTTAAAAAAAAAAAAGATTGCCTACATGTGGAATTTAAGAAACAAAACAAATGATCATAGGGAAAAAAAAAAAAGAGGCAAACCAAGAAACAGACTCCTATAGAGAACAAACTGATGGTTACCAGAGGGGAGCTGGGTGGGGGGATGGGTGAAATAATGATGGGGATTA